ATCTATCAGTCGGGAAAGGTTTGCAGTACAAAGTCATTTCTAAGACTTTGACACTCAGGTGAACCACCATGACAGATATTATTTACAAATGAAGAAGAACTTGGAACAGTGGTGAACCCAGGAGTGACTGGCCCACGAAATTACTCCAGGAGAGCATCAATGACTCGTCTAGAAGGTTAAAAAAAACCCTGAAAAACAACTAAATATACCATTTACCCCAGTTTCAGTCAGAGTTCATGATTCAACAATAAGAATGAGATTAGACAAAAATGGCATCCACAGTACAGCTCCAAGGTGAAAATCATTGCCGACCAAAAAGAACACAAAGGTTAAAAAAAACTTTCTGAAGAGCCCAAAGACCTTTGGGAAAGTATTCTGTGCACTCATGAGACTAAAGTTAAACTTCTTGGAATTTTTGAGTCCCGTTACCTCTGGAGTAAAACTATACAGCATTCAATAAAAAGATCAGTCAAACATGGTGGTGGTAGTGTGATGAGCTGGGGCTGCTTTGCTGCTTCAGGATCTGGACGACTTGATGTAATTGATGGACGCATGAATTCTGCTCTCTCCAAAAAAATCCTGAATCCTGATTTCTGGACATCAGTTTGTACATGAAGCTGAAGTTCACTCAGGTTAATTAAGACAGTCCTGCAAAGAAGAGTGGACCAAAATTCCTGCACAGCCCTGTAAAAGACGCATTGCCAGTTATCACAAATGCTTAATTGCAGTTCTTGCTGCCAAAGGTAGCACGACCAGTTATTTGGTTTAGGAGGCAAAGATTTGTTCACAAAGAGCCAGGTAGGTTTCCTTTTAATAAATAAAATCATCATTTAAAAACTGTAATTTGTATTTGTATTTATGCAACAAATATGACAATTTGTGTGATGATCTGAAGCATAACAAATATGACCGAAAATAAGAAATCTGGAAGGGGGAAAATCCTTTTTCACCTCAAAACAAAGGAATTATTTTGCAGCTGAAATTTTCACCCTTAACGGCACTTAAAGACTTGAAGGTTGCAGAAACAAACCCAACAGCCCTCACTTACTAAGATCTTATTCTCGTGTAAAGCTGCCTGCATAGCTCCTCTCAGAAAACACAGTTATTAAAAAATAACAATGTCTGCAAGCGCATGTATGTGCGTGTTTCCCGGGAAATTTACCCCTTTGATGCTCTCAGATTAGTAATCCCCCTGAGTTGTGGTTGTGAATGTGGTGGTGGTACTTGTGACCTGGTGGGTGGGTGTTTTATACTGCAACCTGCATGCTAGTTCAAAGCCCCCTGTGCAGTACGAGGGGGATAAGAGGACACATGAAAGCAGCACTTGACAACATATACCGTCTAAAAGATCACAGGGCCAAATAGCAAGAAAGGTGCACCAACATAAACAAATCAAACACACCTACATTTTAGTTTGTCCATTGAAGTGCACCCACATGTTGGGGGCTCCTAACAGCACTGATGTAGCAGATGTATCAAGCAAGATAAGTACTTTGGAGGGTTACTGACGCAAAGGTTTGCAACTTGCTAATGTACTACAGAGAAAGGAAATTCAATTTTTGGAAAATAATTCATATATCTCTTGACTTATCAGTCGTTATACATTTGTTATCTTTTTTGTTTTTTTGCAGAAAATAGATGTTGGCCTGTTTGAAAACGTCCTCGTCATTTTTCATATATCCATCTAGCGTGTCAAACCTGACACTCGACAGCAGGAATACAGTGACAGTTATGTCTTCTGAACAAGCCAGGTTGTTTGAGTATTTTAGCACACTGAGCTCCCAGGCGGGCTGTAGCTTTATGAAAGCCCTGTATTGTATTTCTTTCCTGTGCCAGAGCCCGTTTCCTGTGGCGGTGCTGTGTCAAACAACGATGACCCTCTGCTTCCTGCAAGTCGCATGTAGACAGGCCTGCCACGAGCCCTGGGGCCTCACCGTCAGCCGCCGAACAACCTCCAAGCCCCTGCTCCGTGTCTGTTTTCAAGTCGTTTGCCACCTTGCCCTTTCTGGATCTCACTTTTTTTTTTCTCCCACTTCATGTTTCCCTTAATTTCTTGCTTCCCTTAAACTGTTTTTTATTTCTTTTTCTTCTCTCATCTCTCTTGCACCTATCTCTTCCCCTTCATGCCTAATTTATCACTTGCGACCTCCTGTTTCTCCTTCGTGTTTCCCTGTATCTACACCTCCTTTCCTTTTTGTATCCCTTCTTCCCTCCTCCCTTTGTCCCGCCGTCCAGGTCAGAAGATGGTCTGTCAGACGTTTCCTGTGCAAGCCGCAGTGCCAGACCACACCTCGTGAAGGGGATTTCTGCAGCTAAAGTCAGTGACGCCCCATAGAAACGCAGAGACACGCACAGTCATGTTTAAACATACAGTCATTTGATAAAGTAAAAACTTCTTATGGAAAATTGTAGCTTTTCTTAAGAATATTTGGACAAGTAGATATCTGATCCGCCTTTAAACAGGACCTTCAGTTAAAGGTATCAGCGTATCAGAACTCATTCACAAGGAAACTATCAACATGTTAGATTCTCCAAGATGTTTGTGAGTTTAGTGGACATTTGAAATCCTCCCATGTTCCTCTGAAATGCCATTCTGGGTTCTGCTTAGGCCTTTCCACAGTGGATCTGCCAACTCTTCTTTTTGGGACATTCCTTGGTGGATTTCCTAATGTGATCTGGATAATTACCCTGTTGAAATGTCCCTGTCTGGTTCAACTTCAGCTTTCGAACAGCACTCTTTGATATGATGCACAATTCATAGTCAAATCTGTAAATGCGCTCTGCCCAGTCAGTTAGGCAATAAAGCAACCCCAAACCATAACATTTTCACCACCATGCTTCATAGTTGATTTGAGGTTCTTCCCCTGAAAAATCGCCTACGGTCTGCATCAAACTGGTATAACGTCACTGCGGACAAAACTCTAACATCCATCTGTCCAAAGTACATTATTTAGAAACTCTAGTTTTACATGTACTTACACAGAACCCATCACACCAGTTTCCTCCAGGCGCTTGAATAAGATCATGACAAATATTGAAGATTTCTTTTTGCATTAAATGATGTGCTAAGCCACTTCTGAATACACTTTTAGTCACTCAAGTCATCATTAATTGAAGTTCCAGTCTCCTATATTTTTCTTTCCCTGCAATACTGCATATTAATAATTCTTGCATTCTTTATCTTTTTTATATCTTTACATTTGAGTCTTTATTCATCTCGTTTGCACACTGTGGGCCAAAGGGGAACTCTTATTTTGTCCTGTTTATATGGCAATACTGACTTTGATAGTTCTTACATGGAAACTGTTAATTGCAAATAAATGGGAGATCTTATCAGTCATAGGTATCCAGAACCCCCCCCCC